TCCTTTGTTGAATAGCAATAACGCAGGTATAGAAGTTCCGGTGCTCAGCAAGTCAGTACGCTCTGCTCCTTTGTTTACTGCGCACCTTTCCGTAATCAATTGACGTAGCTCTCGTACTAACGACTTTTGGCTTGGCTTATTGGACTCGATTTAAGTGATCTGCAAACTAAATTGACCTGGCATCACTTTGGACTGTGAATTGGAGTTTTGGCGTATTTTGAACTGATTATCGTTTATCATGCCGCTACCATACACACCGGTGGAATACGCTAACATACTCCTCATTTATGGAGATTGTCGGTGCAATGCTAACGCTGCCAGCAGATTGTATCGAGAAAGGTACCCAAACACTGAAAGATACCCGGATTATCGAGTATTTTTGAATGTGCATCGAGCGTTTTCGGAGGGTCGTTTTCCATCTACCAGAAGAAACGCTGGAAGACCGAAATCGGAATGCGATGAAGAAGTTCTCAATGAAATAAACATTGATGCAACTACCTCAGTACGTGCCATAGAAGCAGCTACGGGAATCCCAAAAAGTACGGCACATCGAATTCTGAAATGTCACAAGCTCCACCCATATCACTATAGGCGAGTGCAGACGTTATTGCCTCGGGACTATCCACTACGGATCGCATTTTGCCGTGTGATGCTGCAAAAACACCGGGAAGATCCCCAGTTCCTAGACAAAGTTCTATGATCGGACGAAACAACCTGCAAGAAAGATGGCTATTTAAATCTTCACAATTTACATAGTTGGAGCAATGAAAATCCGCACCTGATGAGACAAGACAAATCCCAATATCAATTCAACGTTAACCTATGGACAGGCATATTAAATGGAAAAGTGATTGGGCCCTTTGAGTTACAAGGAAACTTAGGTGGTGATAGTTATTTGAACTTTTTACAAAATGATTTGCAAGAATTATTAGAAGACATCCCCTTAAGTGATGTACAAAACATGTGGTTTCAAAATGATGGTTGCCCAGCTCACTACGCCCGTCCTGTGCGAGAATACTTAAACCAAGAATATCCTGGGCGTTGGATCGGGCGACTTGGTCCTATCTTATGGCCACCCCGTTCACCCGACCTAAACCCCCTGGATTTCTTCTATTGGGGTTGTCTCAAAGACAGGATTTACGCAAAACCCATCACAACATTGGACGAGCTTCGGCAAAAAGTCAATCAAGCTGCGGCTCATATCAACGGTAGAAGATATGCACGACAGATAAAACGATCATTTTTAAGGCGATGTCGTGCATGTATTAATGCTGGTGGCAAACAATTTGAACATTTACTATAATGTTAATTTTGCAATAAATAAATTAAATGAAGAAATACCATTTGTTTTGATTTATTCAACATTTTTCAGCAACAAAAACCTATTTTCGGCAAATAGCAAAAGTGATTACTATAAATAAGAACAATAATTTAGAATTTTAGTCTTTCTTAAAAATGGTACGAATATTTTTTGCAACATTTTTTTTAAGTACTTGCTTTATTGTTATTCAACAAAGGGCATCTATCTATCTCTTTCTAACGTATATCTCTCGCTATCTTTCTCTCTCTAATTTCTAAATTGTATCGACTACGCACATGTGCCATTGAAATTCCAAGAAATTGCATCAAATAATCTTTTTTCGGCACATAGTGAAAGTGATTATTATGAATAAGAACAATAATCAAGAAATTTAGTCTTTCTTAGAAATGGTACCAATATTTTTTTGCGCCTAGTTCTCTTAAAGTATTATACCATTTTGTAATCTTGGTTAGTTGCGTAAATTTTTCAAAATACTTGCCGCAGTGGTGTCCGTACTTTTTTTTACAAAACGATGAGTGAAAGTCGACTGCAGGTAAAAATATTTCAAAATTTCAAGGAAAAAAAATATTTTGATGGATTTTTTTGTAAAATTGCAGGCATTCTGGGAATTTTAAGAGTTGTGGTAGACAGCAGTACTACTTAGGTGGCCGTTAAAATATTATTATATAATTCATGGTAAAAATTGGGTTTATCGATTTTAAATTTTAGACAGATAACGTACACACGTACACATTCACAGCCCCGCATTAGGGTGACCCTGTGTCGCGGGCGCCATGGACATACACACAGACAATCACAAATTACGCCCAAACTCACGAGAGAAACAAATGTAGGCCATACAAATATTTCTCTCGACTCGGGAACCGAATTCGAGACCTTTTGTGTGGCAGTTCAGCATGATAACCGTTCGGCCATGGAGGCAGTAAAAGATAATAGAGCTAGTAGATATTGTGTATTGTATTTCTTTTTACCACGAGGCGTGGTGTGGAGATTAGCCCCACTAATCTCGTAAGCCCCCCGCTTTTGACACGTAATGAAACAATGGGGTCGAATCGCGCACAAACAAAGTACTTAAAAATTTTTTTTCTTTTCTTTATGATGACAAGAAAAAATTTTAACTTCATAGCACATTGTGTACTAAGGGCTGTAAATAATAAATTATTAACGAAAGATTGTTAGAAGGCGAAGAAGAAGCCGAAGGCTGAGGGCTTTAATGACTCGAGGTTCGTAATTTTTACCGCCCGTGGTACACACAATGTTTTTCATCACATTAGCGAGGAAATAGATACAACGATAATTTATTTCTTGTATGAATAAATATCGCTTCACAACACAACATTTACGGATTTTGCAAATGGCGAATCTTTGTTTTTTTTTAAGCAGATTGCCAGCTGTTCTTCCATAGCTAATAAAACTCGAGCTAAAATGTTATAAAAGATGCAGACATGCATGCAGACACACTGTATTAATATAAAATAAATAACTTCCAAATTGTAAAAATACAGACTTTGAATTCATAAAATTAATTTAGTATAATATTTTCTTTTAAATATTGTTTAGTTCTTCTTATGCTGGAAGTTTATATGAAATACATGTTCCGATTTTTCGACCACAAAAATTTTTTGCTTAATCTTGACATAAAAAATCCATAGGGCGATAATCTAATGAAAATGCCAATGTGCATAATTAAGATATTAAGGTCGACTTTGCCAGCATATCATGACATTGTTTACGAGCAAGTGTGATGAAAATTAAATTTAAACGTAAGTTTTGATAAATTGGCACCAATATGAGTATGTACTCTGTATCCCGAGTGGTTCATCGTTTGCCATAGTACCAATAGCGACTTAAGAGCTACTTTCCATTAAGCGGCTAGTATTAGTAACAACTGCGCACGCGATTAGTATTTGACATATAAACAGCTCATTTTCAAAATGAACGTCGAAGAAATAACATGTCTGTACTGGTTACCATTGAGAAACTGCATACCTGCTGAAGTCAAACACGCGGATAGTGGAACAGTGAAGATTTGTGTGGGGATGTAATTATATGCATGAGTCGTGTTATTTTGCAGTCGCGACTACTTCCAGAGTCGCGGCCGCGTCATTTAGTATAGTTATGACCTATATGGAAAAATAGCACTGACCAGTCGCTTAGTGGAAAATTAGCCTTGTGGGAAATGTAAATCGACTCACGTAACAAGATCGCAGGCTCGGGACTCATCAGGGCAGCCAGCGGCGCGGCACGAGCTTGTATCCCGCGTACATTAGTGCGCCCACGCACGCCACACGCACCGAAACGCGGATTATACGCGTCGACAGCGATGGAGGGGGCACCCTGGACATCGCGAGAAACCAACTTTTTTCACATACTCAACTCACTCAAAACATCATATTTCATTACTAAATTATACTATAAAATCTTGCAACACTGCCGCTTACAGGCAAATTCCCTTGAGGAGAATTAGACTACAGAAACCACAATAGAGGAACCAACAAAGCCGAGTAATTTACAAAACGTTATAACCTACATTCTGTATTTACTTTTCAGTAGCTCATTTTATCGCAGCTTAATTAGAGTTACAGTTAGCCTTAGTTCGCTGCAATTTAATTTGTTTTTCGGGATCTTTATTATTTCTACTTTCCTACCAATATCGCCATGACATGAATTGATAATAAGCTTCACACAGTTTTGCTTTGGTTCACGTCTGTGGCGTTAACTAAACAGCAGAGTAAGGCTGCCTTTCCACCAGAGATGTGCGAGGTAGCGAGGCGGTGTGACGATGTGTAGCGGCGCGGTGCGAGTTACGGTGGTGGTGTGAGCGGTGGCAACGTATCATTGTCAGTTAGTGTCATACTTTCAGTAGTTCTAGTTTCCTATACCGTTTGGCACACATTCGTCGCACACAACTCTCGCACACATCACTCGCCATTTTATATGTACAAATACTTAGCTCCGCTAACCCTTTTCCACCGGAGCTGCGCTAAGCGAGGCTAGGGAAATGAATTGGTGGATTTTTTCCTCGCACACCGCCTCGCTACGTCGCACATCTCTGGTGTAAAGGCAGCGTAACGGTGTCTTGGGATCACTAATTACAAGATTAGAAAATTAGAAAATTAGATGTGCGAAATAACTTACTTGAGCAATGGCGGAATGTCTTGCGGCTTGATTTTGCCCCAGTGTTCGACAATGCCGGCCACGTGGCCAATCCCCACGACGCCTACGATGCGGCATGGTTCTCTACCTGCAAATGCACAAATACGCAATTGAGAAGCGAAAAATCAACGGACAGACTAATCCGTACTTACCTCTAGTAGATATTATAAAACTGGGACTATTTCCTTCTACAATTTTCTCGTTTCTTGATTACAATATTTATAATACAAGTGGTTGAGAGTTGTTATAAAACCTGTCGGATGGTTGACACTCTCACAAGTTGGCATTCTCAATTCGACAGTTTTGTTTGTATGTAGGTATGTTTCGCGATAACTCTTTTTTTGTGATTTGTGAACCGATTTTGGTGATTCTTTTTCTTAGAAGTGGTACCTTTTAAATTTGAAGACAATATTCCACCTCTAAGGACGGTAAACTAGGGGATGAATGACTTTTGAGGTTGGTTTTTTAATACTCTGTATTGAGATTATCAGCTAATCAGAAACACCGCCCCGTCTGTCATTCTGCGTCGGTCAGTCAATCAGCTGGCCAGCAATACAACAGAGCAGTGTAAAGTTTCCGGAACTGGCCACTTACATAAACAATATTTAAAAAGTAATTACATTTGAAAATTTAACTCTGGCTGTAAAATACAATTTGTTTCATCTGAATGTCACTTGTTTTTACATTGTGGCGTCATTTTACAAATTGGTTGTCTACATCAGCATGGATTTCACTCGTGAAAATTTTCGTAGTATGATTTTCTACGACTTTAAGTGTAAATTAACAGCTCAACGGAGCTTGCCTCGGCTTTCAACTGCTTTTGGCAATGAAGCACCCATGCAAGACACTGGTTTGCAGAATTCAAACGCAGTCGTGTGAATCTCAGTGACGAATTTCGTGACGGTGGTCCACTGCTGTGAACTATAAAAACATCGATACTGTGTGCCGTATGATCAAAACAGACAGGCATGTGACATACCTTGAGATTCGGGCATCTTTAGGCATAGGCATGAGTTAAATACAATCAATACTACACAAACATTTGGGTGTGAAAAAGCTGAGCTCTTGGTGTATCCCACACAATTTGACTGAGGCTCAAAAAACGGATCGCGTCACTTGGTGCAATGCCATGTTTACCAGATTCAACGAAGGGAATTCAAATTTGGTATGGGACAAAGTAACAGGTGACGAAACATGGATTTATAGTTACGATCCCAAAACAAAGCAGCAATCGAGCATAATATGGGTGTTTTGAGATGAGCCGAAACCAACCAAAGAAGCACTCGTTCAAAGTGCTTGCATTGCTTCGTTTTTTAATAAAACTGGACACGTGCTTTGCTGGCTATTGTTGCTTTGGAAAATCGTTGTACCATGAATAGTGATTGGTACATGACCACTTGTTTGCCGGAATTTATTGACAAACTCCGTGAAAATAACCGTAAACGTAGTATCAACTTGTACCACGATAATGCCAGTTCTCACAAGGCCAGAGAGACAAATGAAATTTTGAAGGTGAACAACGTTAACCTTATGAGCCATCCCGCGTACAGTCCCGACCTGGCAACTTGTGAGTTTTATTTATCTCCAAAAATTAAGAACCAGTTACGCGGTCATCGATTGTCATCACCTGAAGAGGCTGGCGAAGAGTATGAAAAATATGTTTCAGAGATTGTCACGGAGGAGTGGTATAAATGTTTTTAAAATTGGTTCATTCGTAGGAAAAAGTGCATTAACGCTAACGGAGAATATTTTGAGAAACAATAAATACATTTCTGACCATTTATAGTATTTTTTTCTTATTCATTTCGGAACCTTATAGTGCGCCTCACGTATTATGAAATATTCTTTGTTTCTTTTTCGTATTTTGATCATGCACTTTGAATGAAACTTTCACATTTTTATGTCCACTAGGTTATTACCGTAACGGCTATGAGTACATTTATTTAATATAAACCGACAACACACATATTGTTAACTATCAGTTTTATTGCTATTCATCAAAGAACAGGTAAATAAACCCATTAGAAATAAGAAGTGTGTGAAAAATTTTACGTTATACTTACGAGGTTGCAACGCGGCGACCTGGAGCGAATGGCAAAGGTACATATCGCGCTCGACCACGAACACTCGCTTTAGAGCCGGAAATTCTTCTGCCATCTCTTCTAACATGTCCTCTAGCATTTTCTTTTGTTTGCATTTCTCAACTTCTTCCAAACTGAAATTGTAGATTTTATTGTTTTAAAACTTCGACATCCCACTCGCACAATGATAACATCCAGTATTCAACCAAATCAATCTTAACAATCTTAAGCCATAAGTTCAGTGGTCAGTGAGCTTTATTAACAATTAAAATATCATTGAACATAGGCGTTTTCAGTAACGGCAAAAAGTAACGGTTACTTGAGGGTTTAATCAACATAATAGTAAAACAAAACACGGTGATACTTTTCAGAGACGACGGATTTATTTCACATTTTAATTTTTTTTGTCATGACACCTTTATTTACTTTTGTGATCGCAAAGTCCGTCGCAAAGTATATATATAGTCAGGAATTACGGACGTGAGTTTGTTAACATATTAAAATGAAAGGCTTCGATAATAGTACATTTATTTCCTTAATTGTTGTGTTAGCGCATCTAGCTGTACTTGTATATGGTGCAGCAGCCGATGTAGTTGAGAATGTTTTTGTGTCGAATCAAGCCAGTGCATAACCAATCAGTGAACGCTTAACTTGACCTCTACCCACGTACGTACGTTTACATAATATGCAACATTAATAAAAGTGGATCAGCATTTGGAATCATAAATAGATACCTCCAATGTGTTCACTGGAGGTATCTTACGCGCCAACTAAATTGTTGGACCTGTTCGGTTTTTATTTCTTTTTTTTTCACTAAATATATCTAAAATGGCTGTTTACAAAAATAACAAAAAATTACCAAAAAAATTAAGTTGGCGTAGTGTTTATTGGAGGTGTCGAAATGTTCTTAATACAAGCTACAAGTAACATTTGTGCTGCCATTTCGAAATACACTGAGCCACCGAGTTAATACTGCATGCAGTGGATTTCGGCTGCAAGAAGTTGTATGTATATATCATCTGGTATATGTATGTTCATCTGGTAGGAGCCTAAGATATTAATATCGATCCTGCACTTGAGATAGATTTACTAATACTTTATAGTTATTCACTAAACGACTACCGCTAGTTTTTTACCATGATACGACTTTACTTTTCCGTCGATTTTGTATCCTCTCATATACCAGAAATAGAAAGGAAATGTCATTTAATTTGTTCGAAAACTATTTTGCCACTGTGACAGCTGCGCTCCGATTGACAGGTGTCGGTGGGTGTTGTCAATTGTTTCACTTCAAATCGACCAGTTAACTGGAGCTTTGCTATAATGGACGAGAATTATAAATTACATATTTAATAGTTAATTACCGATGAAATTTGATTCCGTTTATTTTGTAATTACATGTTTCCTGTTTTTCCCCACACCCCCGAATGGAACAGCACGCTATTGTTAGAGATATTATCTTTATTACAATAAATACAGAATATGTTTGGAATATGTGGAGACATACACACAGGTCAGTTGTTGGCGCTGTCTATATTTCAGTGCAAACGAGAGTTGTTATTGAAAAGTGATGTATCACTGATGAGTTACAAGGAACGTATGGCCCTTATTTCGTCTCTATTTCTGGTTATATACTCGATGTCTCAGGTTGACAACTTTTTTGTTAAATAAACAACATTATCAAAATATATTTATTTAGAAGATGTTGTTAGTGACGTAATAAAATTTAATGTACAGGGAAAAAAGTTGATTATGATGACTCATCACCAGTCATCACATTTCACTCTTCTGGAAGTTAGTATTAAATAAGCATAGGTACCTAAAAGAAAATACTTTAAAAACTTACCTAATGGACTGGTTGGAGGTAAGCAGATGCCAAATAAACCGAATTGTCTGTCCCCATGACAGTGAAGCGATGGCTCTATGCAGAGTGATGTCTATCGCTCTGTCGCCAAGTTGAACTATGCAGTTGGGAATCTTTTTCGCCTATAAATAAGTACAATAAATTTCCAATAAAGAGCTTTTGTAAAATAAGAGTGGTAACATACGGCCTCGTTTAGCAACGCATCTGTAGCGATTCAATCGCAATGCGATACATTTTGTTATTATTAAACATGTCCAATCAACTAAAATGTCTTTAATTATTAGTGAAGTTTTCTTATCTTTATGGTTTCATTTTTAGGAAACGTAACCATAAGGAAATACGTGTAAAAATTTGTTTAGGGTTATGTATAAAGACTTCTTATTATAATTTATCTTTAAATCTCTATATAAGGAGTCTCTTAGTCAACTGTACAAAGAACAAACCTCGGCCAAGGCGCGTCGGAATTCGCCCCCTGGCGCCATTCCTAACTCTCTGGTGATATGTGCCGACATGTTGAGCAGTAAAATGTACATGAGTCCATTGAAAACTCCATTCTGAGCCATAGTTGCCCTAGCAACAAATTATTGTATTGAATACAATATTAAAATTGACCAAGATGATTTTTTTCACACTACTGCAAGTAAAGGGAACTATACAACAGGGTCAAATTAAAAAATTCTGATGGAATTTGGAGAGATATTTTCCGTTACATCTATGATGACTACAACACGTATTTCAAAAGAAAAAAAACAAGAATATTTTTATTTAGGAAATGAAACTATTTTTCCGGATTTAAATCGCGTATATTTGTCACGGTTGTCAGTCAACCGTGACCATGGGACCTGTAAAGGGCCCGAAACGTCGGTTTGTTTGAAAAAACAAATATACGCGATTTAAATCTGGAAAAATAGTTTCATTTCCTATGTGTAACAATCGCGAAAACCTAAGAACTCAATATTTTTATTATTCATTAAAATTTATATGGAACCATAGTGAAGATATTACGTTTACTTAGTCAAATTCATAAAAACAATCATCAATGCATCAATGCAATTGGTCAACAAATATGGAAAAAATTAAGTATCATATTACTATATAAAAAATTTACAGTAAACTTGTGAATCTCCTTCTTTTTTGAAGCCAGTCAGTTGTAATCAACTTACCTAATCTTCTTAATGTTGATATTTTTGGCCTCCCTAAGTATAATTTCTTCATCTAATAGTAATATATTAGTCCTCTGTTCACAAAGCTCGACCATAACTATGTGCGGATTCACTTCTTGAATTACCTGAGAAAAATATTTATCATTAAGTGGCTGGCAGTGAAATGGTTCTGCTAATTAATATGTGTTTTGCCTCAAAGTAGACACAGTCTTGTTTTGATAGAAAACTTTATCCTTTATTTGATGATATTGGTAGTCCTACGGTTTGCACTGTCGCTGTTGGATGAAGAATTTACAGGTGTGATTATAGCGGGAGCAATTTGAGAAATGGAATTTTCCAAATACTTTCTGGTCTGGAGGTTCTGGGTAGTGCCCCAGAGCAAATTCCATTGTTCTGAGCATAATATAAAGTTGTCTATACATTTGTTTGTTTATATAATTTCAACTTAAGTACCAATATGGCACCATGAATGCCAGTGCGATATTCAGACAAATGTACAAAAGTAAATATATTAGCAACGGCATAAATTTTTCACGGAAAAATGTCTTTCTCACAAAATATATTTGTTGGTCTCAATTGTATTACATTTTCATATTTGTGCAAATACTAGAACTGATCACACTACATTACTACTTAAGAAAAATGGTACATTTGGACACATCATGCCAATAACTTATGTAAGTAATAAAATCCTGATGTAGTAACACAAATAGCAACAATATAAAACCACAATATAAATCTTCGTTATGTTGCAAATGTAACAAAATGCATAACGAATGCTATACATGTAATATAAAAAAAACTCACTCTAGAAACATCTTCTTGTGACTGCAAACTGAAATGAGCAGTGCCAACTAAGTACACCTTACCCCCATCTGGAGCGTCTAACACGGTTACCATGCTTGGCATACCCTCATCTAAAGGCAAGTCAGGAACTCCTGTGGTATAAAATGTGGTACACAATTAATTATTTGTGAAAATGTTATTGTTGGTAAACAAAATACCTTACAATTATAATATATCATGTGTTCTAAGGCAAATGCATTTGTTTTCTACAATACATTACTTATTCAGGAAAATACATAGGTATTGACACACATTTTACAAACAAACACTTGATGTGGTAGAATACACAAATACATAAAATATTATGTAGTACAAAATTATAAAATCACATATATTAAAAAAAATTGACCCAGCATTGATGCCAAAGACCATGACAATCTATAGTGCTGATTATACAGCCAATACCAATTGGCGAGCATGTGTATGTCTTCAGTTAGAAAACAATGCTCCTCTAGCCATTTTAAGTATATTAAACACAAGTGAAAAAAAACAATTTACAATAAATACAAGATTATTAAGTTATTTTAGTAATAGGTGCTCTATTTTATGGATAACAAACAATTGTATGCATCTTCAATTCAATACATGTTCATACCCCCAAATATATGTATTGGTACCTCCCATTTAACTTCTCATTGTTAAATATACCCTTTTTATATACATAATAGGTACCATATTTAAAAGTAAAGAAATCAGTGTTTTGCTCACATTTAAACAAGGTACCTATAATATACATAATAATCTCTGTACAGAGTATTTAAAAACCAACCTCAAAAGTTTATGGAATTACACCTATATAATATAAAAAGGATATATACTTGTTTTAAAAAGCAAAAAATGCTATTTTGTGGCTCATAACTAATTATGTGGGAGTAATCGATATATGTTAATATGCTGATGAGGGAACTATCTGTACGAACGAATAAACACATTAGAAAGGTTTCTTGAAATTAAAAACAATTTTTACCTTCAATATCACATTCTGGATTGGAATCTGCTATTTGATTATCTGAAGGGCTCTCCTTCTTTTGATCTGGAGTTGATGTAGCAAATTTAGGTTTTTCTGTAATAAAAACCACACTGTAAAAACCACAACAATCCATCTAGTGAACTGTGAGTTCAGTACACATTAAATAGGCCATGGGGAAGAGATTCAAAACTATGGCAAACATTTTCATAATAATATAATAAACAACCACATACTTTACTAATTGATCAATTAGAAGCATGAGAAACCGTTCAACAAAAAGAAAACGTTCTTCACACTTATTATTATATTATATATTATACAATATCATCAAGAATACCCACTGTTTTTTCTTTTCAAAAATTTCTTTTTCAAAGACATATTTTAAACAAATGCCGATGAATAACAAGACTGATATTCTACTGTCTTTGATGGGCCTACGTATTCAACTATGTAGTAAGAAGCCCAACATGTGCTATGTTTAAACAGGTATTTATTGGATTAGCATCTACATATGGTCTTTCATACATGAAAGTCGGTAGTATATTACCTTCTGTTACAGGAGCCATATTCTGAGTTGTATGTGGAGCATCTCCACCGCCAAATTCAGCTTGCAGAAAGTTCTGGCACTCATTTACTAATTCGTATTTTGAAGCTGGTCTCGTCCTCAGATCCTCCTCTGCAGGTTTCACTTCTTTCATGAGGGAATCAGCTGCATCCATGTTCTAAGTGGCTCTGTAACTGCTTGGGTTACTACATGATCAATTTTTATACGTAAGTGAAAGACGAAAAGTATATCCCGTACAGCAAAATCAAACAGTATGATAAATAAGCTTTAACGTATTCAAAAGGTTGCCTAATTCATGTTATTTTATATTTGACGGCTTTTCCCCAATATTTATCATTGTTCTTTACAGAGTGTCTTAAAAGAGTAATGAATTAATTTAATGGGACAAAAATCGAAAAGAAACAGTTGATTTTAATGAAAAAGGAAGGTTGGTGACAAAAAAAAATAAATTACTTACTACTTTATTAAAGTAAAAACATACACGAAAATAGTATTTTTAAAAACAGTAATTGTTAATTTTTTTCATATAATTGAAAACGTAAGCAATCTACGTTTACCTTGCCAACCATTTATTCACAATTTCACAAAGAAAATGTAAAAAAAACTGACAAGACAAATAATAGTCAAATTTACTGAAAACATTTTCTGACGATACTGCTGTCTTTGTTGCACATGCACAAAAATCTGATCTTCTATCTCTCTTGTTGTTTGGTGTTGTGCACATTGCTGTGGTTAACTAAAATGGAACGTATTCTTTTTCATCAAAATTGGATGTTTGATCAAGTGTTTGATTTCAAATAATAATTCTTTATTAAAATGAATATGTAATTTTATTATTGAAAAACAAAATAAGCAAGTTAATTTGATTTTATGAGTCTGAAAGGAGAGACTGAGTCGATGCCCACATATATTAGGCTATCTTACGATTTGATGCGCCATATGTTATGGCCCGTAGCCATAACATAAAATTACTAGGCTCATACACGAACTTGCTAGCACTTGCTAGTTGTATTAGTAGTTTGTGCTTGCTAGGCCGACGCATACTGGCTCACTCACCGTAAGTTTACTGAGCTGTAGGCTGATTTTAATTGAAATCGAAATCGATCCGATCGGGTAGCCCATCTGAGCCTCGAAATCAGATGCGTTTCTGAGCGAGAAGATGAACCTGTAGCTTGATTTTGATTGCGTCTCCCGATCGGTAACTGCGTCTTTTGCGCGTCAAGGCGTATAATATTGCGAGTAGGCTACCCGATCGGATCGATTCCGATTTGAATTAAAATCAGGGCCGATTCCTATCTATGTATATTTATCTTTCTAATTTTTGAGTTAAATCAACTATTATTCCTAATTGAAATGTCAAATGTTTCCGATTGGCCAATTGTGAAATGCAATTATGTGCCACGACTCGAAAGAGATCACAGGCATATATCTAAATATACGTCTGTGGAAGAGACGCAGTTTCCGATCGGGAGAGGCAATAAAAATCAAGCTGCTGGTACCGCAAGACTTTACTGAGTCGATGGCGCCGCGCAGTGGGCCCAAATTGATAATTCTTGGACATAGGAATAACTTGTGGAGTATCGAGCTAATTTTTTTTATAAGATAGATACCTAATAACATTCCTAACAACTTTTATTTTATTTTTATTATTATTTTTTTATTGTTAGGAATGTTATTATCTGTCACAAAAAACAAAATTAGCTCGATACTCACAAGTTATTCTTATGTCCAAGAATTAACAATTTGGGCCCACTGTGCGCCGCGTGGCCATTTCATTTTTAATAGTTAGTTTTCAGTCATATTATTGTCGCGCTTGCCTTCTTGGAACTTTGTTTCGGTGTGTTTTAACTGTAGTAGTAAGTCTTTAACTATAATGTGAGGTCAAAATTTCGTTTCGCCATTTTTTAATATGGCTGTCATATAACCGTTTTTTTCGTCAAAAGTGGCTGCCGAAATGGACTTGCTCTGATTTCCCTAAAAATTGGCATGCGGAGGCCCCTAAAAGTGCCGGATAATAATTTGTGGTCAAAATTGGTTTTTCGCCATTTTCAAATATGGCCGCTATAGAAGCGTTCGTTAGCGGCAGAAAAAAATGCTCTGATCCCTTTGAAAATTGGCATATGTGGGTTTCTAGGAGTGCTTGATAATAATTTGTGATCAAAAATGGTTTTACGCCATTTTTTTATATGGCCGCCTCAACAACTAATAAAAATTAGCTCTAATTCAACTGAAATTCGATGTGTGTGGATCTCTATAGGTGTTTGATAATAATTTGCAGTTGAAATTTATTTTTCGCCTTTTTTCAATATGGCTGCCATCCAAACTTTCTTAGGGCCAGATAAAAATTTGCTCTAATTCGATTGAAAGTGGACATGTCGGGGTCTTTCTTTTTTGGCGGTACATACAAATTTCTTCTAATTCGAATTGTAAATAGCATGGCTTCAATCACAATTTGGGGTAAAAATTTAGCTTCTGACGTTTTTCGATGTAGCCGTAATTTTTTGTGTGAATGGTTATTGAAAAAACTTGCTTTGCTCGGACTGAACATTGGCACGAAAAAAATTCTAAGATTGTTTGATAGTAATTAGTGGTCAAAATATATTTTTGCAATTATTAGATATGGCCGCCATTAAAGAGCTATTACAATTAAAAAAAAAGCCATAAGTGCCGAGACTGGAGATAAGATACGGATACGTACGAGTACAAGTCACAATTGTAAAAAAGTAAAGCATGCTTCCCGATGTAGTGGAAAAGAGGTACTTATTATAGCGTTGTTGTATCTCAACCGTCTCTATGTTAGATTTCATTTTCTTGAAAGCTATGCCAAAGAGAAGTATTTTGGGGGAAAAAATGCCAAACTACTGCCGAATTTCCTGTACTATGTAGATACTGTGAATACCAAATCAACGATAACCCAGAATACTCAGACCAAAACCAACTTAGAAATGTTCGTTTCTTAAATAGGCATAAATCGGGAATCGACCTCCTCATCAAGCGCCCATAGTACTAACTGCTGTGCCACCGAACAACATGAGCACACCCCGTAAATTGAAACCGGCCACGCGCCGCAGGCCGAGCCGGACCCCACCGTAGATGGGGTACAGGGCTCGTTTACAATAAACTTTAATGTCTCCCATGTTGTATAGATTCTGTTTATGACCACCGTTCTAAATAACACAAATATATTCAGGAACCACATCATGTTCAGTGCTTTGGTTGGCTAGCCGATGCATGACGACATATAAACCGAAATACCAACTTTTGAAGTCAATCATTGTAATGTTTTTTATAAAAAAACCGATCTCAAAAGTTCGTGGAATTACATCTATTTGCCGACTTTTATTGAAATCGGTCACCAGAAAGTGCGCGAAATCGGATTACTAGTTTGGCGCCCCTAGAGGTGGAATATTTTATTTAAATTTAAATCGGACCAATGCTGAGGTAGGTAACCTCTTTCTAACAAAAAAAGAATCAGCAAAATCGCTTCACAGTCGCGTAACAAACATTAAGAAAATACTGTCCAATTAGGAATTCCTTCTTTTTTAAAGTCGGTTAAAAAATAGTTTGTGCCAATCAATGTCCCAAACACATCAAACAGTATAATATCATCGTCCCAAACCGGACCATAATGTTAATGGCACGTTCCGTTGTTGTTGTTGTAGCAGTGTAGCATTCTGCGTGAAGCCGAACGTGTTTTTGAACACTATCAAAAAAGTGTCAAGTGTGTTACATCACTTTAAATTTTGTGATCACATTTGCAAAACCTCAAAATGAGCGCCTGGAGACAAGCAGGTCTTAAGTAAGTGCTATTCAATAAACTTAGTTGATTTACATTTCAAAGAATTCATGAAAGGCATTATAATATTATTTACCTATTTCAGTTACATAAACTACTCCAGCATCGCCGCTAAGGTTCTTCGCAAGGCCTTAAAGCCAGAATTCCGTGCAGATGCGTTGAAACGTGATGTATCTCACGTAAGAATCACACCTTGGGCTAATGGCAGGCCAGCACGTAAGTTACCTATGGAGCCGTTTCATAACCATTTATAGTTTGTTCATGTATCTTCCTTAGGCCTTCAAGCTTAAAGATTTATTATTATAAAAAGATATATATATAAAGATATATTAAAATTTATTATTAATTTTTCAGATGAAAAGGAATAATTTCCATGAGGTGTAAGTTAGGCTATATAATATAACATGAAGTTTTAGAACCTAGACGCTCATTCAGATATGGATTTCTTTATACTAAAATATATTTAAATCTGTGTCTGGACAATAATGCATTTAGAAAAAAATGGAATAGTTTTTACTAATAATAACTGAGAATTGTTATTGTCTTGTTTTGGTTACTAACTAAAATTAACAGAATGAATCTAAACAGTTATAGTAAACAAATTATGTAAGTTTTTAAGGTATCACATTTTTGAATTTAAGTTTGTAATGCATTTCAAATTCTGATTTATAAATACTTAACTATGTTATAATCCATTCTTAGAGAACAGAAACTTGATAATTTGTATATGTGCACTTAATTGGAAAATTATCTATGATATTTTTAAGTTGTTCTTTCATAGAAAAAGTCTTATGATACAAGTTTTGTGTGTGTATTTTAATTTTAAGGCCTGTGCTTTCAGTTTGCCAAAACTTAGCTTACTAATAAAGAGAGAGAAAAATCTAAATTTTTACTTTTAATTTTCAGATCTACAAGAAGCTGCCAAGTAAAGGGAGGAACCATTTGTGATCATGCATGAAGATCAGTAAATCTATTTAAATGTTAGCTTTAACTTAATAAATCAATTGTTCTTTATTGAAATTGTTTTAGTGAGTACTTTAAAATTGTGTCCGTCAAGATGGCTGCACCAAATGAGATATACAAATCAAACTGAACTCATTATTTACTCATTATTTATTTTCTACTATTTAGTACCCTTTATTGACATATTCCTTCTGATTAAATAAGGGTAGGACTAGGCCACCACCGAAGTAACCACTTAATACAAAGGGTAGTCAACTATTGCTGTCCAGGAGCAAGTTTTAGTAAAATTATTACACTATTAAGTTGATGTATGTTGTTGATGATGTATTAAGAGTTGCAATATTGATAAATATATAACGGTGAGTCTTATAATAGGTGATAGTAATAACATTAGTAAAAAAGACAAATAGTACCTAGCATTGATATTATTATGTACTTGAGAATTCATAGGAAGTGTCGGTGTAAATTCATACTATATTCCCTTACTGCTCTAACCTAGGCATCGCTCATAAAAAGTATATATACAACTTAAATTCGCATATTTATAATTTAACATCATAATAAATAAATAGACAAAAAAAATCACATACTTAGCTATCCCAAAGTAAGTAGCATTAGAGCACTTGTGTTATGGAAATCGGAAACAACGACGGTACCACAGCACCACACACCCAGACCCGAGACAATATAGAAAAGTTAGTTTCTACGCAGACCCAGCCGGGGATCGAACCCGGGACCTCAGAGATGGCGACACCATGAAAACCGGTGTGCAAACC